AGTGCTTGGTTGATCCTGTCTCATCCCTGCTTCTGGTTTGAGGTAGTGTCAGAGTTCCTAATATGCATGAATCTTTCACTTAGCAGTAGATGAGCTCATAAATGCTGGAGGAAAGAGCTGAAGGGGAGAGGGAGCTGCTGGTTCCCCTGTTAGCAGTTAGCTCCCCCCCCCCCCCCCCCCACCCGAGCAGGACCCTGTGACAAGCTAAACAGGTTGAGTGAGGATGGCTCTCCAGTGTCACATTTCAGCACAAGCCATCCAGGGCCAGGTACCCTCACAAAGCGCAAGGGGGTGTAAAGTCCTTATCTTGATTTAACTCTACACAGTGAAAACTCACCCCAGTGTCCCCAGTGGGGTGGGGAGGGCAGTGGGCTGCAGCCAGTGCCTGCTTGGATGGTGACTGGAGACCAGTACAACTGGCAAAGATGCTGGTCTGCTCTGGAATAGGGGGGTGGGATGGGGGCAGAATTCTGAGGTCGCCCAAAAATGTCTTTACCGTACAGATCAGGGCCCAGGGATCTTGAGCTGCAAGGTGCTGGGCAGCAGCCAGGGCTCAGCCCTGGGGTGTGGGGAGCCCCTGCTGCTCCCACCCTTCCTCCTGAAGGACCAGACCTTCCTCTCCACCAGACTGCAGAGCATTTGGGGTGATGGGGAAAGGTAAGGAAGAACAGAGGGAGGCCATTCTCGGTGACAGGCTGCAATCAGATATACCCACGGGGTCTCTTGCTGCTCACACACCCTTCACAGAGGTTAGAAAAACCCACTGTTGGTAACAGTTCCTCCATCCCTGCTGAGATCATCAATATTAAGTAGGTGATAATAAGCGGTCCCTGAGCAGGAGGACCTGTTCTCCTTTGGAAAACGCTACTCAAGACAATTTATCATTTAGACGAAGAGGGGAAAAAGGGTTAAACACTGCCCAGGCTCCCCAGCCAGTGGTGGCTTTGGTTATCTGCAGCATGGCTGCAGGGCTACATGGTGCCTGTACATGTTCGAGGATCAAGAGTTAAGTGTTTAAATGATAAGTGATATCTTAAAAACATAAGTTTAGCAATGAATCTTTGCCGACAATACTATACTATTAGTTAATAGGCAGAATTAACTCACTGGCCTGGGGCCAAGCCCGTCAAAGCCAGAGCCAGAACAGCTGAAGCTGCTTTTCACTTGGGTTTTGCTTTTATGGGATTTTTCTGGTGCAGGGAGACTCCGATTTCTATTAAAATATGCTCATGTTTTCCTCCTCCCAACCTGCCCCTGGAAGCTAGAGGCTCCTTGGAGCCCAAGGGATTCAGCCAGGAGCTGAAAAGCTTTCTTTTTGCATGCAGAGATGCAAGCAAGGGTGTCGATTTCCTGCAGGGCGTCTCTCCGTGGCCACCGACTGGCTGCCTGCTTGCTCGCAGTGGGCCTTTACAGGCAGATTCCCTGCACGACGTGCCACCAAGGGTCTCACTCCCCATCCCACCCATCCAAAACAAACTGCCCTCTCCCTTGACTGGGGGACTGAGCCTGATCAAGTAGTTCTAGGGGAGGAGATTTCCTGGACCCCAAGAACAAGAAACCTCTCCTGGATCTTTCTGGTAGCCATGGCTCTTTGGGTGGTGGTCCCAGGGCCCCGGGATGGCTGCACTGAGCCTTGTATGTGTGAATGACAGCCCCGTATCACCCATTGCACAGATGCTGCTTCATTCATGTTGCTTCCTTTTGTGTCTCCCTTGACTCCTGGCTGTCGCCTGCTGCACCTCTTTAACCTTGCAGAGGGTGAAAGGAAGACACCTCCTCTAGGTGTGATGAGCCAAGGGCTTCATGTGCAAATGAAACCTGTTCTTCCTGCACCAGGAACTGAAAATCCTACATTAAATGCATCACCACCAAACCCGTTTTAATGTCCCCTAGATGTCATCTCTCTTGGCTCTGTTTGCCTGGGAGTCATCTTTTGATGTAAACTAACACATAGGTGAAACTGAAGTGGTGGCTGTTCCATTTTTGTAACCCCACTGCTGCTACTTTTCCCAGACAAGGTTTTATCAGACACTCTTTGCAGCAGGGTTTGAGCATCCTATGACAGTGCTGACCAAGGGTTAGATGTGGGCAGCAACTACCAGTAGAACCAACATACCTTCCCTTCCAAGCTGGGACCAGAGTGGTCAGGCGCATATGACCCAGTGCTGTGACCACTTGTCACCAGATGGCAGGTAGTGGAGCATCAGCTCACATTGTCAGGGATGGCTGAGGACAGCAGTGGGGCTGTACAGCGCTCGCTGGTCTATGACCATCCTCCACAGAGGCCGCTAATTCTGGTGCAGAATGAGAGGGCGGTGCAGAAGAGGACACTGGAAGAGGTCCAGCACGACTCATCGTGGTGTGGTGCTTTGTGGCACTTGCTACTCTGCTTGGAGATGCTGGCTTGGTGACCGGAGAAGCTTGTGGACTTCAAGACAGAAGGTGGAGGCTAGTGGCATCCCCCTGCACGGGCAACGGCAAGATTGTGAGGGTAGCTGTGGGCCTTGGGAGGCCTTCCTGTAGACACTGAAGGGATGTAAGAGTCATAGAAAGCCCTTCCTGGAAGCAGAGTGAAGGCGTAAGGTTGGATGAGAGCTCACAGTTCACAGCTGACACTGAAGGGCATCGTCAGGGGACAAACTAGACTCCAAGGAGTACGTAAGAGCTTCAAAGTCACTGCAGCAGTTGGGAAAGTAGTCTGCACAGTCCAAGGTCTCATGTCCAGTAGCAGTAACCTAAGGGGATGCTGAAAGTAGCTGCAGAAGAGAGGTCTCCAGTGACTGTTCCCTCAGGGCGAAACTCCCACGGTGTCTGGCAGCACAGCCCGGGAGAGCTGGAAGAAAATACTGAGGGTCTGGGTGGTCTCTGGCAAAGAGACAGGAATGCTGGTTGCTCTTGGTCTCTAGGATCTCACTTTGGAGAACTAGGTGGATCCTCTGGGACATACCTGTCTAGGGCATTGCAAGCTGCAGAAACAGCCCTGGCATCCAGAAGGATTGAAACGATGATTTGAAGAGTTTGGAAATGGTGAGTGCTTTCTGATATCTGATGGGAAATGCTGTGTGCTCCAGAAAAGGGGACCATTACAGAGCCTGGAAAATGAGGGAGCCCTGGGAGCGTGCTGGGATAGTGGGTACCTGCATGGGTGCGTGGGCTGCTTGTCCTGGAGGGGAACACGTCTGAAGGCAGGAGCAGCAAGACTTCTTCTGCCTCCTTTTGTATTGAATTGAGCACTCTCCATGCAAGAGTGAACCTTAACGAGGCACTAAGATGAAAGCTTCTCCACACACTGTGGAGCTCTGTCACAGGATTCTCTGGAGGCTGCTGCATTGAATGTGGGGCCAATCTGTATGACCAGTAACACCTGTAGTGATAGGAGCTCTCAAAGGGGATCAGAGCCTGCAGTTGGCAAACTGAGTTAGGGAAGACCATTTGGCTCATATATATGGCCAACATCATCAAGGAGTCTTGATCTCCTCCAAACATACCTGTGGTTGGCAAGAAACGAGTCACTTGCAATGGGTCAAGGCAGTGAACCCAAGATGTTCAAGCTGCTGGTGCAGCAAAAGGACAAGGAAGAGTGCAGTGAGCAGAGCCTGTTTTGTCAGTGTCTTCGACACTTTGGTGTGTTGAGGGGCAAGGATCCATCCTGGCAGTCCAGTGGCTTCTCAGCTCTTGGCCTAGGAAGCTTGCACAGCTCATACAGAGCTCCATGTGCAGGGTATGACCTGCGCTGAGAAGATCCTCCAGGACACACGTGTGCTGTCTGTAGGATGCATTTGACCCTCCTTCCCAGCCAGAAAAACTAGGGGCACAGTTATGGGAGGTGAGCAGAAAGGCACTGCTGGGTACAGAGTGGATGCTGTCAGGCTGGGTGGTCTGAGGAGATGTCAGGGTGGTGGCAGAGGGGATCTCCTGGGTCAAACAGTCCTGCTAACAGTCACACGTGTCCTGAAGAGGGTTTGGATCATGAGGTGCCCAAAGGGCAGACTTGGCTCCCTGGCCCATGGGGAAGCCAGGGCTGCTGGGTGGTGTGACGGCGCAGTGGGGCTGGGCCTCACCTTGCACCTTCTGGGAAAGTCCTGTTTGAGCCCATCTGGTGTGAATGGGGCTTGTAGCCAACTCACAGCTCCCCCACATGGGCCATGAGGGACCTCCTGCTCCAGCCCCACCTGGGTTGAGTCCAGGAGGTCTGGGGAAGTCAGGGCTGCCCGGAGCCTGCCATCAACAAGCCACGGATTTTGCCAATTCCTTGTTTTTTTTTTTTTGGTTTTTTTTTTTTGTTGTTTTTTGTTTTTTTTTTTTTTGTTTTGTTTTGGTTTTTTTTGTGTGTTTTTTGTTTGTTTGTTTTGTTTTGTATTTTTTGTCTTTTTTTGTTGTTGTTGTGGTTTTTTTGTTGTTGTTGTTTTTTGTTTTTTTGTTTTTTTTTTTCCCCTGCTAGACATGTCCCTTTCCCCTGCCAGGCCTTGCACGCTGCCAGCACACTCTCCTCCACCACCTTCGCCCCTCCCGGGACGCCCCACGCCCGTCCCGGTGGGCAGCGGCGGGGGGCACCCCCGGATGGCGGGATGCTCAGCCCGGGGCCGCCGGGCTGGCGCGGAGCTGCGGGCGGGTAAGGGAAGGGCGGAGGCGGGGGCATCCCTCCGGGAACCCCCCCGCTGCCCCCCTCGCCGGTTTTTGCGGCGCGCGGTCGACCCCGGCGAGGAAGATTTGGGCTGAAATCACGGCTTTCTCCTGGATGATCGACAGCGCCGGGAGAAACCATCGGCGGGCGGGGGGAGCCGCCGCCCGTCGCCCGCCCGCCCCCCCCCCCCCCCCCGCGCCGCGCCGCCGGCCCCCCCGCCGCCCCCCCCGCCCCGCCGCCGCCCCTCCCCGCCGCCGCCGCCCGCCGCCCCCGCCGGCAGCGCGGCGCCCCCGGGGTTCGGGGCGGGCGGCGGCGGGGCGCTCCCCTGCGCGGCGGCGGCGGTGGCTCGGCCCGGCCGCGGCGGCGGGGCCGGCGGTGCGCTCCGTGCCCGCGGCCGTGCCCGCGCCGGCGGCGGCCCCAGCGAGGGGCTCGGCTCGGCTCTGCGCTCCCCCGCCGCCTCCATGGAGCGCCGGCCGCGCCGCCTCTGATGCCCGGCCCGGCGCGCACCATGGGGCCGCTGTGGCTCTGCTGCCTGCCCCTCGCGCTGCTGCCCCTGCTCGCCGCCGTGGAAGGTAAGGAAGGGGAGGGGGGGGGGTGCGCGGGGGGCGGGGGCCCTTCTGGGGCAGGGCGAGCCCCTTCGCTGTTTTATTTTTTCCCCCTTTTTTTGGAGGGGGGTCACACTTTGTCCCCCTTCCCCCCCCCCCCTCCCCTCCCCGCCGCACCCCTTCCGGAGCGCTGGAGGGGAGGCGAAGTTTTGGGGAAGTGCTGCCCCAGCTGGAGGTGTTGCCGCCGGACCCCGGTGCGGAGCTGCAGGGCCCCTCGTGTGCCGCCGTCCCTCCACCCCCCCCCCCCCCCCCCCGCCCCGTCGCCAGACCCTCCCGCTCGCTGCGTTGCCCTTCTCTCCGCCATCCCTTCCGCCAAGGTGGGCATCCCTCGCCGGCACCCCCCGCGGCCGGACCCCGCCCGCAGCTCGGGTACCGCGGAGCCTCTCTCCCGGGGATGCCCGGGCTTTGCCCCGCCGTGCCGGGGGCTGGCGGCTGGGGGAGGCTTTGGGGCGCACCTCAACAAGGCCTTGCCGGCATCCTGGAGCTCATGGCCGGCTCCCCGCTGGCGGCGCGGCTTTCCCGGCGTCCCCGGGAGGAGCCCGGGCTCCCCGCCGAGTTCCCCCGGTGCTCAGACAAAGCAGAGCCAGGCGGCAGGTGGGAGCTGCTGCGGGCTGGCCGTGCGGGGAAGGCACTGGGCAGGAGCCCGGTGGTGGGGTCTGGGCAAGGCAGGGACTCGCCTTCCCGCTTCCAAGCCCGTCTCAGCCGTGCCTGCGTGCCTCCAGCCCGCCTGCTGCGCCGGCACCCCGGGAAGCGACGGGAGAGCTGGGCTGGGCAGGGGTGAGAGCAAGGCGTCGGGCCAAAAACTGGCTCATCCCAGCGCAGCGCGGTCTGGGGGTGTCTGCCCATCATGAGAGAGGGCTGCGTCCGAGCCAGCAAGGTGCTGGGGTGGCTCTGCTGTACCCCCCAGTTTCGCTGGGCTGGTGGGCAGGCTGGGTGGCTGCTGCTGGCCTTGGGCGTGGAGGCACTGGGCGGTGGGAGCTGCACGGACAGTGTTTGGAACATGGATGAGGCACCATTTATTAAGTTGGAGTTTTGGGAGATGACTCATGGGTTGGCCAGCTATACATCGTGATATTTACAATATGGGAGCTTGGCATAAATAGGACTATTTACGTTGCAGTGGAGAGCGCTAGCCAGCTATGCTATTCAAATGATCCCAGAATGTTTTTAATTATGGGGGGGAGGGTTGGGGTGATGAGCGTGTTTGTGGGAGCTTATGTGTCCACGTGGGACGTCTGGCCTGATCAGCTGACAGCGTTGACACTTACAATGGGGTTTGTGCTTGGCCAGCGGGGCCCGAGCGGGCTTGGCTGTGCAGAGCCCAGGCTGCTGGCTACGGCGGGGGAGGGAGCCAGGCACCTTGTGCAGGGATGGGGTGACACCTCCACCCTGCCATGCCCTGCCTGCATGCCAGGAGGAGCTGCCGGGTGGTGCTGGGGGGTCGGTGACCCCCTCCTGGGGCTCTTGCATGCTTGCTCACAGACGTGGGTGACCTTCCCACTGTTACGGCAGGAGCAGTGGGGAAGTGTGAGCACCCGGGCTCATCCCGAGGGATGGGGAATATACATGTTGGGGACGAGGGGGCAGCCGGTGCCAGCGGGGAATTTCACCCACCCAAGATGATCGCCAGAAGGTGTGCTCCTCCATGGATGGGGATGCTCCCTGGGAGGTGGTTGATGGGGGCTCTGCACCGTGCTTCCAGCGACTGTCCCCATTTGAGGCTGAACACGTTGATTTGGGTTCAGGGGAGCGACCCCCGTGCCCCCACCGTTGCCTCCTGCCTTGTGTGTGTGTCGTGGGTTTGCGATGGCGGGTCACAGCGCCGGTGTGGGTAACCAGCTACCGTGTCCCAGCCTTTCCCTCCTTGCAAAGGCTACTGGAGAGGTGGTAAGGTGAAAGTGTGTGGGATGCAGCTCCCCGGGCGCGCCTCTGCTGCTCCTTCCTCCCCTCTGTTTGCTGCCTCTTCCCGAGACTCCCTGGGATGCTTGGAGGCAGCATCCATCTGTGCCTCTGGATGCTCTGGGCCCCGTCGGTTTGGGCAGACCAACACTGGCCGTGGAGGCTGTGGCTGGACCCCACCACATCCCACCTGCCACAGGGCACCTCTGTGGTGGCGATGCTCTCTGCGCTGCCATCACCAACTCTGGCAAATTCGCAGGGCCAAAATGGGGGCAAAAAAGGCTCGTTCAAGGGAAAAGCGTGTTCTGGTTATTTGCCCAGGGATCCTGCCTCTTGAGTCCTGTTTTCAGCTCTGCTACAGAGCTTTTCTGTAATGCTGGTAATTTCACTTGTCTCCTCTGTGCCTCAGTTTTCCTAATTACAAGGCGTAAAATAATACAAGCGTCTTTCCCAAGGGAGCCGTGAGGTTTTGTTAATGAACATGACAAAGTGCTTTGGGATCCGTGGTTGAAAGCGCAGCCTTAGCCAATGCGCCTGTGTGTGGGGTGTTTATTTATCTACATGCTTTATATTTCTCTCTACGCTATATATTCACTCGCATTTAACAAACCTTAATTAGAAACAAAGCCGATAGGGAAGGAAATATAAACAGGAGTGTGCATGAAAATTGGAAGTTGATTACTCACTGGCCAGCAGAATGCATGTCTCGGGCTCGGGAGGAAAGGCTGTTTGGTTAAAACCAGCTCTGTTAAAAGGAAATGTGAAAAGAACATAAAACATAAATCAATATGGAAAACAGAGAGGTGGATGACAATGTACATAAAGCAGAGGTTAAGAATTGTGTACAGTTGTTAAGGCAGTCGCAAGGTAACGTATCTGCAGCTGAGAAAGTTCAGGCTTATAAAAGGAAAGTTTTTTTGTGTTTTTTTTTAAAAAAAAAACAAAACCAGAAAGTCAAGAACAAAGGAGTCCTGGAAGGGTCTGGATCCCACACCGGTTGGTAACAGTGCCGCTATCACTAATGGCTCCTCTTTGTGTTCCTGCTGGCAAATGCTGCACGTGTGTCTGGAGTACTGATACTTCTGAGGTATTTTTGGGGAGAGCTAGGAAGGGCACTTACATATTTTAAAATCAACAGCCCAGCTAACTTGTGTGTGAGGGGGGGAAAAAAGCCCTGAAGGCGCTCTTCACCCCGTTGGAGTTAACTTTTCATAAACCTTGTGGCACTGGCAAGTTTCCCGAGGGCTGGAAGAAAGCCAGCTGTGTTCCAAGAAATGCGAAAGAAGAAACGAGATGGCCCTAATACCTGTGAGGGTGCGGGCAGCCCCAGCGAGCTGGCAGCACGGAGGCAGCGGTGAGCTCCAGTGGGTGAGGGCGAACCGCTTGGCACGACTGCTGCTGGCGCGCAGCATCATGGGCGAGGGGACTTGGTGTCGAGCATCCTTCTGTGCTGGGTGGTCACGATCCTGCGCCCAGCCCTGGGCTTGGAGGTGGGTGCTGGGGAGGGAGCGCCGTGTCCTCTCCTGGGGTGGCATCCCCAGGGCACGCTGTGGCTGAAGTGCTGGACAGGAGCACCCGTGTGCATACTGCAGCAAGCTGGAGACAGGACCTTTGTGGTTCTGCATAGTTAATAATGTAATGTACACAATATACGTTATGCATTTATTATATTGCATATATATGCATAATACACAGTATATTGTATTTTATGTATACCTTAACATATTCTAGTGTCATAATATGGACACCTCTTTTGTACACATGGTCATGGCTCGCTGCTGAGCCCCTCCACAGCCTCCTCCAGGGCCAGGGGTGGTGCAGGGGCATGCCAGCGAGCACGGGGCTTGGTTTGTGCCTCATTGTGTCTGTCTTTGTGGTCTCAGTGGAGGAAGACTTTAGCCATTTCTTTGGGGTTACAGGTCACACCAGGGCAGTTGCTTTTGACTTTGGTCCATCAGGGAGGTGGCACGTGCCCAGGGCGTGCCAGGACCGTAGGGGCTGCGGGAGCATCCCCGTGAGCCCAGCACGCTCTGGGGGGATGCAGCAGAGCAGAAAGTCCAGGGAAAAACACAGGATTTATCAAGAAGCCAAACCATCCCATGTGTTTGAACTCCAGATCTGCAAATGCTGTCCTGAATCCAGGCTGGAAATGAATTTTTGACAAATGGGGCTGAGGTGCAGGGCGGAGACTGTGGTTTTGGGTCAGCCCTGTGCTGCCCGTCTCCCTGCCACTGCCTCCCCTCCCCGTCCCTGTATCCTGGGTTAATTTTTGACAAGGTGCATTCCTTGCACTTGCCTGCCTTTTGCATTATCAGGGCAGCAACCAGGAGTGAAAACTTTTGGAGAGACCAAATGGGTGCCTGATTTAAACATCTGTGTAGCTGCTGTTGCAGCTCTGCTCCTCTGCTTTTCCCAGGTGGGAGCAGCAGTTACTCCTGATCCCTGCTGTATTTCCAGCTTCTCTGGGTGATAAAAGCTGAGGGAGCAGATGCCAAGAAGACAGGGCTGTAGGGGACCAGATCTCGGGGCTGGTGTGGCCACCAGTGCCCCCCAGCTCCTCGGGACACCCTACAGAGGGATCTGGGGATGCGAAGGGGAGATGGGTATGCCTTGGGGATGCTGCCAAGGGGTTTGGGGCTGTCCCCCAAAGGTGGGAGCAGCAGTCCCCTTTGCAAATAGACTAAATCTGCCTGCACTAGTCAGCAGCCGTTTGTGTGCGCATACCTGAGCTGGCTGTAAAGAGGGGTGGGGGGCACCAGTGGGGCGGTGAAACCTGCCTGGCTGCACAGGAACTGGGTAAATACTGGATGCTGAGATAGCTCCCGAGGCCCAAGTGCTTTTGTGGGAGTGCAGCCAGGGCTGTGATAAATGAGATTCTAAGCCCATCACTCCTGCCCCAACACGCGCCCGCTCCCAATAGACCGACCCTGCCGGGATGGGTGCTTGTGCGTGGGGCTGTCCAGGAGTGGGTTCGGGGTTCCCATCCCACAGAAAGTCTGTTTTTACAAATAAAGACCCCCCGTTGGCTTCCATCCTGGTTTGCAGTCCCTCCCAAACCTGGCTTCTGG